TAAAATTAATATCTAATTCAGTAAATGATTCTAATGTTAATTGTATTAACTATGACTCATGAACTATTGAGGAATAGTATATAAATGCAGTATATCGTGAAATAAAGAAGAATTGTCCAACTTAGTGTTTAACGTAAAATACGAGGCGTTTAAGTCTTTGTGTAGTCTGCTAGTAGAGCAAAAGTGTTTGTGATAGTGCAGATATCGTTCCTTGATACGTGGTTCAAGGAATTGACTTATTGATCGTATATTGCGTTATCTTGTTGCAAAGCTGTTTTGTGACAACTGGATAAAATTATGGAGCAGTCCCTAGCCATGCAAAGTGCAAAAGCTTTCATATTAATGATTTATTAGTCTAATCTGAAGTTTAGAAATAGTTTTCATTACTAATATGTAAAATCGTGACTGCGTTTAAAATAAGTAAAGCCTTTTTACATATTTTACCCATCTAATTTGTCTAATCAGCTAATGTTATATAATGCACGATTGTAGTTGGCTATTGAGAAAATGATTGCTTTATACCTGTCTAGCTTTTAGCTCCATATTGCAAAGAATATGCATTGTCTGTAGCGCAATTAATCTTTTCTTCTCTCAATTTCGGTTATAAATTCCCCTTACATACTATATTATTACTTATTTTCGCCAAGCAGTAATTATATTACATCCTTTAAATTAGAATCTGTTCATTGATTGGCATTTAAGTGTTTAACAGTGTAATTGTACTTGCACATAATATTAAGATGAAAACTTACAATTTATTCTCCTCCACAAACGGACCACACTTTACGAATAATTCTTGATATTATTTCTTTTTATACATCAGAAAATTAAATTATAACCGCATAAAAGATGTCGATGCATCAGCAATATTTCGAGGAAGCAACTACAATTTACAAGAACTGTAAGTTACTTCCTATATCATTCTTACATTTCCACGCATTCTAACGGCAATTTATTAAATTGATCTGGTATAATTGCTATAGAGTACTTAAGTTAATTGTTAGCAGAATATTGTTCATAGATAAATAGAAAAATTAACTCAGATATTCTTTTCTGATATAGGCACTTAACCCATAACCAAATAGCTAACTTTACTAATCCGAACAACGTACAATTTAACGCGCTTCGATTGCTGTAAGTGTTGCATTTATCTTTAATACAAATTTCAAGATCGTGTAGTCAATTAATTTTTGATGTCACAATTTTATGTTTATTAGCAATTTAAAGCAAAATCAATTATCAAGCATCTGTGGCAGATCAGATTTGCTAGCAATAGCACCTAACCTAGTAGAGCTGTATGTATTCTTTTTAAATATTTTCTGGATAAGTGGTTTAACTAATTAACTTATGACTTAAATTTCCGTAGAAACTTGGATTTCAATCAAGTCCGAATTCTAACAAGCAGATGCTTTAGAGCACTTTCCAATTTACAGAAACTGTATGCATTGGTATTCGTTCGATTTATTAATTTCAAAATCTTTAGCTTTAAAATTCTATTTAAGCAAGCATGCTTAAATTGGCTGTTAAATTCATATAAGTCAAGTTACATTTCATTTGCTTATAGGTCAATAATATCAAATCCGTTAGTAATTTTAAAAGGTATTTCATTCTATGGATCTGCTACATTAACTTCAATGTAAGTAAGCCTACATTAATTACAGTTTTAATTCATTTAAATCGAAGTATTAATAAGTGTAGTAGAAATTTAGCCTCAATGTATGGTCAATTTAATTAAGCTTTTTGTTAAGCCTTGTGAAAAAAGTTTTCATATTGTAAAAAAAAACTTAATCAGCTATACGGATTCACTAATTATGCCAAGAACTTGACATCGATTACAACGATATTATATCAATAGTTCATTAAATGAAAATATCATGCTAAAAATTTTCATATGCAAGTTCGCCATTTATCGAAAATAACTTCTGATATTGAGAGTCATAATTGGATAACAAATGAAGTTAGATTTCAGATTACCTCATAATTTTACATCTAAAATTTGTACAAATTTGCTTTAATATTTAATATCTAAAATCCTTAGAGGCTTTAATCTCAAACCTTTTAATCATGTTCATTTTCAAGTTTATGCTTTTTTATATTTTTAACCCAATATCCGTCATTAGAGCTTCCTCACGTGCTTATTTATGCTGTACAGTACCAGCTAAGATTACTGCGTGCACACCAGTTCCCGATTTAGATTCAGCATCAAGTTGTGAAAATATTCTCGCTCATACCTCTTTACAATTAGCTGTATGGGTTATGGGCATCACTGCTTTCGTTGGAAATATCCTTGTCATGTTTAAAATTCGTGCTAATAAAGATCGCAAAACAAGTAAGGCTACTGATCTAGTCTTTAACAGCTTAGCTCTATCCGATTTTTTAATGTCCATATACCTGTTTATTATTGCTGTTGGTGATATAATTTATCGCGATCGTTATGCTCAATATGCAGAAGAGTGGCTGAGCAGTCCAGCATGTGTTATTGCATCATTTTTAGTGTGTACATCAAGTTTAATGTCGGTTAGTATGATGCTGTTTATTGCCATCGATCGTTATTCCCTCGTTGTAAATCCATTTTCATCCGACGGAAGATATAAGCGAACTAAGACATCATTATTAATAGGATGGTTGCTGACTTGTATTTTCGTCGGTGTACCGATTATTATGGGTATTAATGAAACTGGAGATATGCGTTTATATCAGTTTAGTTCTATTTGCTCTCCAAGTAATCTAGACAATACATTCTATAGTGGTTGGATAGCTGTATTTGTAGCATTACAAATAATATGTTGGATATCAACCGTAATTATTTATTTGTTCTTATTAATGACGGTCGGTAAATCGCAGCGCTCAGTTCGTAGCAATGCCCGATCTCGTAATTATGCTATTGCTATCCGAATATCGCTTATTTTAATTACAGACTTGGTCGCTTGGCTACCCATCTATGCTATTTCTGTTATTGCTTTGATTAATGGCACCATCAATATATTTGTACTACAGTTTGCGGTTATTTTGGCAATACCATTAAATTCAGCGATTAATCCATATATTTATACAGCAACTGGAACGGCATGTTTTCTTCGATTAACTACTATTACGAGTAAAAAATCTTCGTCATGATTTCTAAACCAAGAAGAAATGGTCTTGTGATGACATATGAGGCAAACTAGACATTATAGGTTCGTATTTTTTTAATTCGAAACTCTTGTTGCGATGTAGTACCATAGTTTGTATAGTGTCTACAATATAAGAAATGACAAAACCATGCTTACATTGTACTTACTAGTATGCGAATTAATATGCTATTGTAGCTTAAGATAAGCCATTCTTCATTCGAAAAATGACAGAGATAAAGGTTATTTGCAATATGATATACCACTACTGGCCAGTAAGACTTGAAATGGCGTCCATAATCTATATAAGATTACACTTTAAAAATAAATTCAACTCTACATCTAATTACGTTATTAAGGTGATTCTGGTGATGATTGGATCAATCATATGATTAAAATAACTGATTAATAAGGTGTCTTCTGTTAAGAAAGCTGTCCATTCATAATTGCATTTGTTGCTTTAAACTAGTTGACTTTGATAGACTAGTGAATTAACCGAATAAAATCGTTCCAGATTAAAGTATAGAGTGACCATTGATTGTGAGCTTTATAAAAAGGCACGGGAGTTCTTAGGCGTTGTGGTAATAGTACGATATTTTTACTAGATGTTACGCAGATTTGGCTAGCCATCTAATAAAATAACTAAACGTTAGTGCTTTACGCTAGTCAATCAAACTTTTCAGGAAATAATTCGCAAGAGTTGGAAACGCAAAATGAGGATAAGGTCTTCATGACTTATCCAATATTGTAATGGAAGTTCTCATGATGGCATAAGAATTCTTAGTGACTTTAGCACATGGTCTAATTTGATATCGTATGACTGGAACTTTGAAGAATATAATCAAGAGAAGCAGCTTCATATCTCTACCGTGAATTGTAAAATATCACCTTTCGAAGAGTTTATTAAATAACAGTTAATCTCGTTTATACGAAGGTCCAATGTTTGCAATATATTTAAAAGTCACTATTATAACGTAGTTATGTATGCAATAGTTAGTGCCTTAAACGCTTAGTGTATACAAATAGCGTTATTAAAGATTTAGCAGGACTTGAATCTTTAAATATTGGCATATTGTAATCGCCAAGCTAATGAGTGTTGTAGCGCAAAATAGTTTTACACCGCTTACTCGGAACGTCAATATTATACAGCTGGAAATGCATAGAGTAGATTCAAGTAATAATATGTCTGTATTTATAAACTTTAGATATTTTAAATCATAATCATTATTCACTGCTTGAATTTTAGGTCGTTTATTTTCTCAGTCATTAATAGATTATAAAAGCAACGTCATTATTATAAATTCAGTTCCTTGATGATAAATAACTGCGCTTATAAAGATATCATATTTAATGAAATTAAATAGGTTTTCAGTTAGTAACTCCTACAATAGTGTCTAAATTAAGTGAGTGCATGGAGCTTATTAGCTAGTTTAGTTAGGTTTTGGCTATACCAACTTTAGTTAATAGTTAAGGAAGGAACTGATCACAATAATTAATATGTGGTTTACTTTTCTTGAAAAACTTAATATTTTTTACCAGCTACTATAAAGCATAGTATTATATGTCAATCCATCCTTATCTTTTATTACTTCAAGATGGGAAAGTCTAATTAAGTAAAATTAGTGGAAGTCTCTATAGCAATGGAACAGTTTACATTAGTAAAATCACTTTACATATAAGTGAATACTAACAAAGACAACAGAATTCGATTCTATTTTTAGAAGAGCAGACTTACATTCTGTAAGTCAAATCTGTAAAATATAACCTAAAAGGTAAATCCAAAACAGATAAATCTACAAAGCAAATCTAAAAGCTAAATCAACACTAAAAGTTTTATAGGTTCAATAAGTAATACAATATAATATGGCCTATTTTCTGTGCTACAGTATGTGATTCTTTCGTAGAAGTAGTTCATTAAAATAGAGATAAAATGAATCTTTTGGATACAATATTGTAGTAAAAGTGAATTAATCATATAGCGCTAAATCGATGCAATTAATCAATGGACCGAAAAGCTATCTATATTATGCAAGTTAATAATATTACAGTAAACGTAACTGCAATCAGTAAAATGGTATTCCTAATAAGAATGTTAAGAAAATATCCTGTTGTTATATTTACAACGTTATTTTTTAGTTATAATATGATTGATCGTAACAAAGACAACACATGCAATAGCCCAAATATTGATCACTGGAATCCATAGCCAGTGCTTAAAAGGCGATGAATAGATATTAACTTCATTTCCTAGTTTATCTCGAGCTTCTTTGCGTCCGTAATAAACTAACGTAGAAGGAATGACATATTGAACTCCAACGCCAGCATACGAGCCGGTAATACCAGCTAAAAATTCCAAATTCTTAGTAATAAGAGCCAAAGTTACAGGTGGTATGAGGGCTAGTAATGGAAAGACGATGCGGTCTATCCAAAATGGATAAATTTTATCTTCTTTTAGGAGCAAAGATTTTAGATTGTTACGTAATGTGACCCCAATAATTGGAAAATTAGAACTAAGAGTGAAAACTGGAAAGAGCGATAGGAAAAAACTGATAAATTTAACATGATAATGAGTAAAATTTAATGTATATAAATCTTCCAGCGAGTGAATTGGAAATGTAAATATGGCAGTGTGAGATAATAGCGCATAGAAGGCTAAAACAGTAACGTAATCTCCTAATAGAATATACATGACATGCTTTTTCTCACGAATGGGTGTAATCATCGATGGCAATGAATGTTGGCACATGAATGAATAAATACAGATGCCAAAAAATGTTGGAATACCAGCAAAATTAGCTACCGGTGGATGACCTCTAGCCTTACCACTACCTAGAAAGATGAATGTTATAGAGAGCATCATAGCAAAGGCTGAAGATTTGGAAATTGGTATTTATGACGGATATTGTAGAAGGAAGAAACGTAAAAATGCAAAATTAGTCGTTCATCATTACAATATTCATGAATTCATTGCTATCTACAATGGAATAATTTAATTTTATGTAGTGTAATGTAAAAAAATACACGTCTTATAAAATATAGGCGAATCTCTAATCGCCATAAATACTACTTAACTTCAATATTTTGAATTAAACTGTGATAAAAGTGATCATTAATTAAAGAAGTGATATTTAGCTCACCTAGCCACCGTAATATAGATGTTGTGACTTGCAAGTATTTTGTCTTTTGAACATTGAAAAAGACAAATGGTCCAAGACAGATGGTAAAAGCGGCCTAATTAAATTTTTAATACTATTATTTACTCTTCAATATCTTTTTGGGACATTTAACTGATGTACAGTCCTATTTAGTTTAGGAATTATTTCTGTTAGTGTGTTAGAAGGAATGCTTACTACAAAGATTCGATAAGCACCACCAACTGTAAAATTTCCCCAGCAGGGTAATGAAGTATTTAGTCCGGTTCCGTTTAAATCATTACTAACCAAAAATTAAATAATTAATAACAATAGCGGCACTTGGATAGTTAAGTTTTATTTAAATTATTAATTACGGATTGAAATTCTCTTGCACTTACCAAGCAACTTTGGTCAGAGATTTTGCAACGGCGACAGCATAAATTGCTAAATCGCCATATAGGTAAATACAAATACACAGATAGAAGAAATTGTTGCCAACTATAAATTTAAGTATGCCATAATAGAGAATAATTTAGTAATGAAAATCATATATGTAGTAATTGAAAAAAGTCAAAAGATTCAAGAGGCTTCCTATATTACATCCAACTTGAAGTAAAACACTTATTGGTAAAAGCCTCATATCTTGCAAAGATGAAATACCTTTATTGTAAAACATTCCCGCCATTTTCCCCTAGTTTACAAAATTTAATAAAGCATGTCGATTTAATGATAACCTTAATCTGGCAATAGAAAGAGATAATGCTCGCAATAGGAAAAGGATAAAAAGTGGAATCAATTTGAAATCAATTAGTCACTAAATTTATAGCATACGAGTATACTAATCAAATATGGGGCAGTATTAATTATTACTAATAAGTTTTAATTGCAAAAGTCGATTATTAACCTGGTATTGAAACATGATCCAATATCTATAAAGGCAGTAAATCACAGAAAGATTTTAACCGATGCAGCTATGAAATTAATTGATGAAAAGCTCAAAAGCATAGTCATTTGCTAAACTTATTTTGCTGATAGTTGTTTTGAGAAAAATCTATTAGTAGCTCGTTGTTTCTAATAGAAACGAGTTAGATGAAGATTTGAAATTTTGGCTTGCTAAATTAACTGATAAATGTCCAGGATTTATAAAAATATACTAAATTAAAATAGTGTTATCTGCTGGTGCCAATACCAATCATTTTAACGATTTGTACCATACATTAAGTAATAAAAGCATTACTGAATTTATTCTTTAACACGACATGAGCTCGTTTGATTACAACTTGTAGAAGGATTTAACTTACTATTGACGTGGAGATTCATTAAAGAATCTATCTGGAACTACTCTATTAGCTATTTTTGGCTGAATAACTTTATGTCAAGAATCAGATTGAAGATAGAATTCCTCTTAATTTCTTAATGCCTTAAATTTTTTTATCTGGCTATTGATTGTTGAATTACAGTTACGGTAATTTCTGTTATCTAATATTTCAATAATAATAAATTGCTATACCATAGATTTTAGCTAAATGCAATAGTTTAATAAAATTTACCAATTCTACTCTCTCTTTGATTTCAAATACATTGGATATGTATTCCCTCTTAATTTCTCCTAAAGTCCATATCAAATATATATGGATTAATCATGGCATTTATTAAACTTATAGCAAATGAGAAAGAGGATACTCTATTAAGATCAGCCACTTGTAATGTTTATCGTTAACAGAGCTTTATTATTTACATCAATTAGATTATAAGTCATAAATCTTACCATTAATTTCAATTTCGAGATACTTTCGAGTTTGAAGTACTGGCGTTCTTTCAGTATTGATTGATTTATCTGTTTCTCCTTCTTGATCGCTATTCGACTATAGATAACAGTAATTAGATGAGATTCTTAAATAATTTAATTGTACACTGCACTATTAAATATAATCATAAACGAATTCAAGTATAGCTAATATCTATAAAAGCAACAAATAAGCAGATACACGAACCATCAAAGGCTGATAAGATATTTTGGCATAAGTTGGAATATACAATAAGAGAGCAAAAGAAAGAAAAGGATGATGAGCATATCTTTAATATTAAGCATTGTTCGAAATCATTTGAAAGATTCCTTTACCTCCGATTCGACTTGAAATTGACCTGTTTTATCAAGTGCATTCGCAATTGCCATTGATTCCACAATAAATGTGGTAGTAATATAACTAAATCGAAATTGGAATGATTGAAATATATATTCAAATGTCTTCATGATTAACGCACACGGGAAATTAAGTGATAAATACGAAAACTACAGATAAACAGTAAGTAGTAGCACGGATGACTGGATACTTTACCAGGTACAGTACAGTATCTAGTAGTCAATAAATTCAGTAACTTATTTCGTATAGATTGGAATAATAGAAGCCAATACTGTCAGTTTATACTAAACACTGAAGATTAATATTCAGAGACTCCTATAAAGATTCATAGCTACCTGATTATTGCTAATAAGACTAGCATAATAGTGGCCAACAACCAACCAGTATGAGCAAAAGCTTTTGGCATGGTCAAAGCACCAACACCCACCACCAAATTAAAAACATAAATGAATCCAACCTAGTTCGAAAACAGAAACGGTGATCAATTTCGATTTTTGACTTACGAATGTCTGAACTAGACTCTTGAGTTTTGGAATGGAAGACACCAGAAATAGTAATGATATAGTATAGATGTGAATCTCAACGGTAGATTATAGAACATTTAGTTATTATCGTAGCTTAGTTATTCATTTATGTCTGTTGTTTTAAATTGACTATGACTAAAAATGGGTCAGAAATGGATAGGTACTGATTTATTGAGTCTACTAAATCCAAGTAGAAATTAAATCTAATTTTCCAAATAATTCAATATCCATCTTCGTATTATTCGTAGCGATAATCCAAATTGCGATTACAATTTGCTAATGAATAATTTCTTGAAATAAATGCTGGACTCTTTTTTATTCGCGGAGAAAAAAGGGTAAGTGCTTCATTTAAGTTCATATAAATTATACATACGACTACCATCTATCGACCAAATTTTATAACTTAACTAATGTTTGTAGCGCATTGGATTACAGTATCGTTTCTACATAGAAATAGATATGTAGAACTGTTACAAATCTTCTTCTTTGTAACAAGAAACCGGGTCTTAAACATTATCTTCACTAGTACTTGTGTTCCCAACTAACTTAGGGACCTATCGTAGTTGAACTAACTCTCAGCTACACAAAAAACTACTATTAAGTAATAGGTATAAATACTTTACTTTATTTTCGTTAACCTTAGTCGTAAAATGTACTAAAGAAAAAACGTAAGAATATTCTTAGCAATAATAGTCAAAAGATCCTGCAAATGACTAACTGGAACTGAGAAGCTAAGCTAGTGCTCCGCTTTTTATAGTCTCGCCGATGGTACACTTGTGAATATTCTTGAAATAGCGGCTTACACTGTACAGTATACATATCCTAAAGGCTCTGCAAAGTAATTGATCTTACACTTAAAAACATCTATTAGGAAATTAAGAATTTTTTCTTCAAGGTGAAACAAATAAAAAGAAATTGAAACATATTGAAACTATGTAGGCGTCGAAATGAATCAGATTATTTTAGGATTTCTAATTTAAACCTTTATTATTTATTATACTGTACACAAAGAGATCTTTACCTAATTTTTGCTATCGAATTCAATACTACTGTCAACTTGATGTTAACTTTTATGCCTTTAACACTAAATTACATCGTATTGCTTTCGATATAAAGTTGTTCATTGATTTGATGATGTTAATATAATGTGGGTCTGGTAAGAAGTATTCACCATTTCAAAAATTTAGAAAATGGTCCCTTTCCTGATCGGCGTATTAATCAACGTCACCTGGATTGTGATAGGGATGCATTTGGATACTTGTATGGAAAAGCAAATCAATAAATGCTAGCATAAAAGTACTTTATTCGAAGGCAAGTGACCTTTCTATAAGCAATCAGAAGATGAAGCTAAAATTTTTCGTTCATCAATCTTCCGATTAAAATTTTCCTATAGTTCGAGCTTCACCGAATTTTAATTAAAATTCTTTTTACATCTAATTCCTCATGTCTAAACTTAATCTAGACTATACAGTTGTAGGCACTGTAATCTAAAAGAAATTGGCCAGCGTTATTCACTATTTAGCAAAGCAATGATTTCGACAAAGAAGAGAGAATTAATAAAGTGACTAAATAGTATCAGTAAAAATCTTTCAAGTCGTACTAATAGAAAATTGACTATTTTTATCATCGAAGGTTTATTTAAAGCATGGATTCAACTCTTTTATATAAATTATTTGATATCATATTTATCGCAGCAGATAATTTTTGAATCCGTATTTCAAAAGAGAAAAAGTCAAGAAAACGGGTAGGGAAGAAAATTAACTTACGTAGGCCGGATAGCTCGATCCTACTTCAGTCAGTGACGAAGGCATAATTTAGATTGAATATACTGAATGATGATCGAAATGGCTAAAATTGCCTTCGTTGTTGGATTCAATGCCCGAAGAAATTAAAATAAAATAGACTAGTCTACTAGGGCTACTCAAAATTCGACTAGTCCACTCTTTTCCTTCCAATCTTTCAGGTACGGTAATTAGGCAGAAAATTGTCGATTTAGTCGATGACTTAATTAAGAAATTAATTCAGAACGCTAGAAGTAGCCAATGTCGGACGACTACGCCGAATCAGGAGACTAGAAAAGACTCTTCATACTAATGCTTATATTTCATCGCTATCGTCATTAAGCTTGCTTATTATCCATTGAAATGGTAATCATGGCTTCTGTATATAGCCGTTTGATGGGACAGAGTTATGGATAAATATACATGTAAACAATAACCTGCATTAAAATTGGAAATCTTTTTAGCTATGTTATATCAACGTATTACTGTATTGTCATCTACTGTACTTGTATACTGTTACTTCACAACAAGTTTATATAAAGGTATGAACTACCATATAGAAATTGACGGTAAAATTGCTTCTATCATATAATATTTGTGTATACGTATAAATTTATCGGCCAGTGGTTTAGATATCAGATAGTCCTTTTCATGTTATTAGCAAGTATTTTTACTCTTTTACGGTTCACTTTCTTGAATTAAAAATGATGAATTGTAAATAGGTAGAAAATGAGATTGAAATAAAATATTTAAGCTATCTTTTTATTTCATCTCTGCCTTGACAATTTATAAAATATATATTGACATGGCTAGGAGATTTGTTATTGCGTATACATATCGTCAGTAAATAAGGCTACAATGAAAATTCTTTCTCTATCTTTTATATTCTATTTCTGTCAATGTCACAGATCGGATTTTTTTTATTGATGCTGTTTGGAGATTTAATATCACAGCACTTTGAACTATTGCTATACATAGAATATCGGGACAAATGAAGCATTGTGCCCATTTTGAATCTCTCTCGCTCTCCTGGAATAGCTGGTAAAATTGATTTACTCGTCCGTTATTTTGAGATCCATTCTTACTATTGATAACTGTAAGATTTGCGTATACGTATAAATTTATCGGCCAGTGGTTTAGATATCAGATAGTCCTTTTCATGTTATTAGCAAGTATTTTTACTCTTTTACGGTTCATTTTCTTGAATTAAAAATGATGAATTGTAAATTGGTAGAAAATGAGATTGAAATAAAATATTTAAGCTATCTTTTTATTTCATCTCTGCCTTGACAATTTATAAAACTTATATTGACATGGCTAGGAGATTTGTTATTGCGTATACATATCGTCAGTAAATAAGGCTACAATGAAAATTCTTTCTCTATCTTTTATATTCTATCTCTGTCAATGTCACAGATCGGATTTTTTTTATTGATGCGGTTTAAAGATGGTTTGGAGGCGGTTTAAACCATTGCTATACGTAGAATATCGGGATAAATGAAGCATTGTGCCCATTTTGAATCTCTCTCGCTCTTCTGGAATAGCTGGTAAAATTGATTTACTCGTCCGTCATTTTGAGATCCATTCTTACTATTGACAACTGTAAGAACGTAAGACTAAAATGGAATGTTTATTCCATCTTTCATTTCCGTCTGTGTTGCTAAAATGAAGAGATTTCCATTTATATGGCAAACCTGTGATTTCGACATGATGTCAAAGAGTTGCTCCATTGAATATACAGTACATACACAGTCTATCAGACCGAAATCGTTGCATTTCAATATGCAAAGTAGACAGTACTGCACAGTCAGTGCTGACGCGTGGAATACTGTACTGTACACGTGTAATACTGTATAGTACTGTTCTGTTGCTCGCTTCTCTGTACTGTATGTGATTGTTGCATAGGGTTGAGAAAAAACACTATCTTAACTCTATGGATTCTTGTGAATAACCTGAATAAAAATCCGAATCCTTTTCAGAGTCTAAAGACGAGTCTGAATCACTGAGTTTCCTTTATACTGTACACTGTACAGTATGAAATACTGTATAACCAACAACAATCTCATAGAGATATCCAAAAACCGCTATGGGATTTCCATTTAGGAAAAGCAGTCCGACGCGTACCGCCCATCATAATGCAGTACAAGCACAGTACAGTACAGTACAGTACTGCAAGTAGGCTTTGTACTGTAGAAATTTTTTCTGTACTGTACACTGTACACTGTATTTCAGACTACTGCGCACTGTCAATGCAATGATTATGCAGTTCAGTACAGTACATGGAAATCAATTATTACTGTGCTCTGTCAATAAATACACTATATAAAACATATAGGATATATAGGAAGATATAAAACATATACAACATATAGGATATAGGAGATGATTATGTGGTGCGTAGTACTGGTAGATGCTGACCAAGAAATATTGAAACGATGATGGCCTTCTACTATATTAGTTATTTGAGGTTGTGATGGTAATCCACCTGGAGTAGTAGTTGATACTGTAGTATCTCCTCGAGTAGTCGGAGTAAATGTTATTGGGTTCTTAGATATTGAAATGAATTCTCGTGGAGTTATTGAAGTAGATGATGTTAGACTAAATACTATTGAGTTTTAGAGACTACAGAATCAACTACTGCTTGACTTGTTGAAATAAGTAACACTGGGCTTAGTGTAGTTGGAGTAGATATGCTTAAAGTAGATGATGTGGCAGTACTCAAACATGATTGAATTAAATGATGTTGAAGTAAAAATGGAACGGCGTACCAATACTTTGCACTGTATAGGCATATGATAATGAATCAGGTAATTTGAACTTTCATTACAATCATATTTACTAAATTTTCTTACTTCGCTACAGTTACAATAAAGAGCAGATAATCAATAGTTTTTGTGTCTTAATTCAAATAGTATAACCATCAATTATAATATGAGAACAATTAACAGTCTCTTGAGAGTTAAGAGGCACTGTGCCGTGCTAATTTTCGTGTAAATAACTTATTGGTTAAACCAACAGCATCATAACAAAGCTACGTTCCATTGCCTATAGTCTTATTTCAAGCCATTCAATAAAATTGACATTGAATATGGCAGAGCATGCACCTGCTTACTGATAATGAGCTGATATAAGGTCTGTAGTGAAAATTGATCGATAAACTTGGAAACAATTCTGGAAAAAAATTCTGTTTTATCACTAAGCTGTAACAGCGCTCCATCGTCATTAAAAAATTTTACGAATCAGTTTTGTACCGGAAACTAAACTTTCGGGAATCGTTCGTAGATAACGACGTAGATCTCCAACTGACTTTTAGAGACCTATATGGGTGAAAACGAACTCTTTTCTTCGCACAAAGATGACTCTTTCAAATATTTAATAGAGAATTCCTTTACTGTTCTAAGCTACAATATGTGTAAAGCCGTCACTCACTAACATCAGCCGGAATTGATCAATTTATTACCATGATCGTTGTTATATATCCTAGTCACCTCAGCACAATGCGACTATTAATATTTTAGTTGTGGCCGTTTGTAGGCCTCGGCATAGCGACGAGCTACTAAAGCTATAATAACTTATAGCGGCAGCTCGTAGACAAAGTTGATTCAAAATCGATTACGTTAGAGCCAAATTGGACATTATCCGGTGTTAATGAACAGACATAAATGATTACGCGTTCCAATTAGCAATTATGTTTTATTGCCAGCTCAGAAAAACAAACAAATAACAAGCTACATGAGGTAATCGAGTCACCAAATTATTACAAAGCTTAGCACTGTAACAGGGTATAAGGTTGTCAGAATTATGTTGAATGGATAAATTTATGTAAACGGCTGAAAAATTCTTATAAAACGATATATTGAGAATTTATGTGGTATGTAATTGCAACAATGTTTGTACATATTGTTGTGTGAAATCATCGAAAAATAAAAAATTACAGGGTAGCTTCAGGTAGAAAGTATTGATAGATTTTATGAGATGTACGTTTACTTTCCTTCCCTCTTTATCTATTCAATAGACTTAGGTAAACGTCCAAAGGTTTTAGTCTTGTAATACTACTTGTAAGTCGGAAAAATAATAAAAAATGCTCAGCCGGTTGTTCCTTGACCTTTTTGAGCATTTTAAAATAAGGGAAGACACGGTAGTATTCTTCTATTGTAAAAATTTTTTTGTAAAGATCAATTTCAGATTTACCGTAAAATTTTCTATTGCATCTGTTACGAGTTAGGAATAATCCTGACTTGTAACAAAGGTTGATTATGTATTTCGAATATACACGACTGAAAATTGAAATATCGGTTAAGGTTTCTTAAACCAGTTTAATCGTACAAGTCACCTCGTCTTTTAGAAATTATCCAAACTAATGCTCTAAAAGGTTTTCATGTATGTGTAGAATTAAATACAGTTTAGCACAACTAAATTCAAAGTGTCAGCATTACATTGATCACTTGCTAATAGTACGCTAGATTAATATACACGTACATAAGTGTATATTTTGCTATCCCATGAAGATGTTTCATTTAAACTTACAAACTGTGCTTGCAGTCATAAAATCATTCAAGGTGATAGTTATAATCTAGTTAAAGTAGTTGAGAAATGCAATTACTATTTTAGTTTATCTAATTACAGGTTGCTAAAGTATCATTTGTTTAAGGCCAAAGTTACAGTTAAAGAAAGCGTGAACATTACTGACATAGAAGCGTATGCCCATATATCAAACGTAATATGAAAATAATATACATGTCACGAACATCATATAACAGATCTTTCCTCTACTTGTGCAAACTTATATTTTATGCTAACTAGTCACGATACTGCTGTTATAGCAGGAACTATTTCTCATAAATGGTGATGTTGATAAACTAATTGTATTTCTCTTATATGTAGGATTGTGTTAATAATAACATCTTATTAGCCGGATACAGAACAATTACTACTTAGTAACAATACATTGCAATCTTCAGCAGTCAATGTCGCACTTTATAATGCTTTACTTCAGCCTGGTCAATCACCTAGTAAATAAATTCTTAATT